TTCAAACCTTCATCAGGCTGTAATCATATGGTGAAGAAGAAGGGGGGGAAGAGGAGATTGGATTTATACCCCGCCCTTCACTACCCAGAGGAGTCTCAGAGCGGCTTACAGACTCCTTTCCCTTCCCCTCCCCACAACAGACAGCCTGTGAGGTAGGTGGGGCTGAGAGAGCTCTGACAGAAACTGCTCTTTTTCAAGAACAGCTGTGCCAGAACTATGGCTTGCCCAAGGTCATCCAGTAGGTGCAAGTGGAGGCATGGGGAATCAAACCCGGTTCTCCCAGATTAGAGTCCACGCACTTAACCAGGAAAGCCAGGAAAGAGCTGAGGGGACTAGTGAAGGATGTGCACAAGCACTTATCCTCTGTCCCCAGTTGCACTCCACCACTCAGGCGCTATACCAAGCTGAGGAGCTCTACTATTTCACTTCAAAAAGGATGTGGACAAAATCGAGAGGGTGCAGAAGAGAGCGACGAGGATGAACAGGTGTCTGGAGACTGAGCCCTAGGAGGAAAGGCCGAGGGCCTTGGAAATGTTTAGTTTGGAGCAGAGGAGATTGAGGGGGGACATGATTGCTCTCTTTAAACATTTGAAAGGCTGTCATTTGGAGGAGGGCAAGGAGCTGTTCCAGTTGGCAGCAGAGGATAGGACCCGAAGCAATGGCCTTCAATTACATGCAGAAAGGTATCGGCTGGATATTAGGAAACACTTTTTCACGGTCAGAGTGGTTCAAAGGTGGCCTAGAGAGGTGGTTAGCTCCCCTTCACTGACAGCTTTCAAGAAGAGGCTGGACGAATATTTGTCAGAGATGCTTTAGGCTGGTCCTACATTGGGCAGGGGGTTGGACTAGATGCTCTGTATGGCCCCTTCTAACTCTTATGGTTCTATTTCCCTTGACACTAAAGCCTATTCATTGTTCCAACTGGCTCCACAAAGTCAGAAGCTGTGGTTAATACTATGTGGCCAACCGCATGTATTATGGTTTAGCTTCATATGTTTAAATTCAGCTTGTACTGCATCTCTCAATTCCAAATAGAATTTTGTGTGTATGTCTTCATTACAGTGTTTTTCAGATTTAGTATACTACACCCACTGTATAGCCATTTTTTGTTATTATACCACCTGGAGGTTTGGCAATCCTATCTTGAGGCCGAATTACTTAGCCTCCCAGCACCAGTTCAAACTGCCATTTGTCTGTTTCCAAGGCTTTGTGGAAGCACAACAGAGACCTGTGTAAGGCAATCTCTTGCAAACATGGGGGGCGGATGTTTCTGTGGATCAACTCAGTCTCCAAGCGCTTATACAAACAGGTACCCTTTCATGAAACAGACACGAGAGTTTTACATGCCAGACCTTCAGGTGAAAGAGCTCTACAAAACCACACCACGTCCTTGAAAGTAGCTACATTTATTCAGCAGGATTAAAAAATATTTCCACTAGAGCAATCTGAATGTACAAACCTAGAATTTTACAGCCTTTCAATAAATACCATTTCCCCCCAACCAATGTGCAAAGATAGGATCTTTTTGGTAAGAAAATAGCAAGATCTAAAAAAAAGAAACAGTCAATGAAAATAACATTCTTTTAAGGTTCTTTTCTTCCATCTGTCCCCACATCTTCGCCGCTCCTCACAGCTGGAGAGGTGAGGCAGCTGTGCGGAGTGAACCCAACATCTTTGGCCTGTTCACAAATACAAGATTGCCGCAAGCCCCAGAATACCTCACACCTCTTCTGTCCGCCAGCACTGTCCCATCTGCGACCGGTCTTGCTACGGTGCACCCAGAGCTCTGGTCATTAGAGGACTCTTGTCAAAATTTTAAAAACCTGAACAGAGTCCCAGGCTGCTGGCTAAATGCCCCCAAATTTCAGTGGGCATCTGGGCTGCCCGTTAATGTCCCGCCAACCTAGCAGTTCGAAAGCAAGAAATTGCAAGTAGATACATAGGTACCACTTCAGTGGGAAGGTAACAGCGTTCCGTGCGCCTTGGTGTCTAGTCATGCCGGCCACATGACCACGGAAATGTCTTCGGACAGTGCTGGCTCTTCGGCTTTGAAACGGAGATGAGCACCGCAACCCTAGAGTCGGATTCGACTGGCTTTCGAGCAAGGGAACCTTTACCTTTTTTTAAGGCTTCCATCTCTCCCCCAAAAGGTCTCACAAGCCCCCGCAAGCACAACTGTTGACCTGTTCTTCTCCAAAAAACTAAGGATAACAAGCTTAACTTTGCTTCAGTGGTTTTGCGCACCACTCTAGAGCAAAACAATGGGAAAGAATCTGAGAAGGAGGGAGGGAACCTCATGATCAAGTCCAGCCCATCTCTGTTCACATGACTGTGTTGCACCCATCTCCAAAGCAAATATTTGGTTTTTCACTGGCCCACAGCTCAAACTGCAACCCCTCCCCAAACTGTAGACTGAGCAGAGGCATTGCTTGCAGTTGTCTGCAGGGAAGTGTTTGGACATGTAAATCTTGAGTGCCCAAAGGGTACAGTAGCAATATAATAATACTAATAATGATTAATAACAATATAAACAGCAAATATATATATATAAAATGATAAATAACAGAATGGCAATAAACTTAGAAAAGAAGAGGCAGAGGGGGGTATTTTAAGCCAGTCCTCTATGCTAGGGTTTTCAACTTGCCTGTGCTCCTGTACCTTTAACAGCCACTTCCTCTTCAGACATTTAGTGGGAGGTAATGCTTTCCTCCTCGCAAACCTATCCAAAGCTTCACTTGCGCATCAAGCTCCTGTTCAAAGCAAAGGGGCAAGCCAACCAGGTTTTCTTTCGGGTCAGCTGGCAACCTACTTCAATGAATTGGGGGGTCTGATACCAAAATAGCTGGCTATTGATGCAACTGCAAGTTCAAATGCACAAACTTGCTAACATTCATCTTGCAGGAGCTTCAGCATATAACTTCGCAACGGTTGCTCCAAACGATGCCCAGCTGGTTCCAAGCACTCCAGAGAAGGAACCCAGCACCTGTCTGCTGGAATGACATTTATTTCAAAGGACACCAGCTCCAATAGCTTTCGAAAAGGGATCAGACACACTAATAGAAGCTAGCAGGTACCTACGCGATTAGTGATGATAACTAGGAAAATGGCGCCTCCGTGTTCAGAGACAGGATACCATTGATGACCTGATGCTGGCAAATACAAGACAGCCTGCCCATGAGCTCCCTTGGAGCACCTTGGCTGGTAACGTTGGGAAGGTTCTGAACTGATCCAGTGTGTTGATATTGACATTCTGTGGTTAGACTGGACTTCACCTGACTATCAGGAAGCCAACCTTTGGTCATAGTTGGCACCCAATCCATGCTGCCTACACAGGCTTGAGGCTGCTACCCAGTCTGCCCCCTTATTAGATCTGTCGCTTATGCGGACAACTCTGAGACACACATCAGTACAACGGTCAGCGCAAGCAAGTCCCCATGACTGGTGAAGGATGTGCACAGGTGCCAGACGATGCCTATCATGTCAAAAGGGCAGACATGGCCATCTGCAGGCCCTTCTCCACTTATTGTTGGAGGCGAGTACCCTTCCAAGAGGAGCAAGCCTAGCCTAAGATCTTCTTGGGGTTCTGCTGCCCCCTCCTGGCAGCCCCAGAAAAGTGGTGTCATTCTCTGCCACCCGTATCTGACGATCTCACGAGTGATAGGTTCATTAACAGTCTGTGGTTTTTTTATTGGCTGAGCTTTGGGGGGGGGGGAACTGGCAGTGGAGTTTGAGGCAGTCTCAGCAGTGTGAGCCCAAGAGAAGGCAGCGGCATGCAGGGTTAGAAGTGACCTCAAGAGGGAACCGGGCGCTACACACATTTCTGGGCCTCCAGGAAGCTTTGCGACCTGGATGATCCAGGTAGCCCGATCTCAGCAGATCTCAGAAGCTAAGGAAGGTTGGCCCTGGTGAGTACCTGGATGGGAGACCACCGTGGAAGTTCAGGATCACTGCGCAGAGGCAGGCGATGGCAAACCACCGCTGAGTATCTCTTGCCTTGAAAAAATCCTATGAGAACACTATAATTGTGACTTGATGGCACTTTCCACACAGAAAGTTTTCTCTTTGTAAGAGTAGGAGCTTGCTTAGCGACTGGTCCCAGTTTTAATGTCCTGGGACAAAGAGGAAAATGCATGCGTGCACGCAAGGAGACGCTCCTAAGCTGTGCTCCTGATGGGATTCTGGCCACCAAGTAGCCTTTTAGACATTCTGTGTGGGGTACTACAGCCAGCATGAATTGCAGGGACGGGAAAATTTCTTGTGCCAGTTCTCATCCACTTAAAATTGATTTGGTCAGCTGGGCTGTTTCTCATTGGTTTTTGTTGGTTTTATTTGTTGCAATCTTATCATAAGCAGCCTTGCGCTTGCCCGGGAGACAGGCGGAGCAAAAGTAATCTAAATAAATCCGTTTCCTCTTCCGCTTCTCTCTTTCCGGATGTGCTCTTTCCAGGGCGCAAAGCAAGGTATTTAGGAAGCCTGCAATATCATCACAAGCAATTTCTCCTTGGCAAGATCTTTTAGAAAAATTTCTGGGTTGCAGGACTGTCTGGGAAGGGAGACCAACCAAAGTTAACTTCTGGAAAGGGCCTGACCTGTTCCCACTCCAATCGAAACTTAAAACCAACATGTCAAAAGGTGGTACTTCAGATTTTTCTTTGGAAATTCACCAGGTTGCGATTGCTGCCATTCACCTCTAATGGGCACGCCTTAAGTTCTGCAATTCCGATATGAGTCTCAGCAGCCCTTCCTACCCTTGAGTTATTTCCGTACCTCATCAGCAAGGCAGGGTGACCACATAAGATTTGTCACAAACATTGGGGCGAGCCGCCCGACACACAACTGGTAGGCAGCCGAGAACCAAACATCTTTTCCTAGGCCCTGGCTTTGCAGGATCTTTATGCATCCTCGGAGGAGAGAGCTCCGATGTGCACAGTATGGGAACTCTTCACAGTAATGACCATCAGGCAGCTCAGAGCTGTGGAGATGACAGGCCACAGGTGCCCAGATGCTCAAAGACAGAATCCCGGGGGCTTTGAGAGCTTTTTGTTTCACTGATGGGTAAGCACAGCGAGGTTTGGTTATAAGGCGATCATTGCAGCGAAGGCTTATTTAGCTTAAGGTGGAAGGTGTACGGTTAGGACCGAATGGCAGCGCATGCGCAGATCGACGGGTGAGATGTAAACAGTTTGTGGTCTCTGAGGGGAGCCAGGAAAAGGAGGGCTGTTGCCAGATGGGGGTGGGCTAATGGGAGTCCGTCATCTGCTGCTGGATCTTCTGCAACATTTCCTGCATTTGCCGCAGCTGGAAGGGACAAAAAAAAAAAGAAGCACATCTGAAGGTGGTTTCAAGCTTCGGTCTTTACAGTCAAATTCATTTTGTTCTCTGAGCCTGGGACAGGTTATTTACTTTTATTTATTAAGGAGGGTTGTTTTTTTTTTAACTTTTCCAAGAGGATTCAAGGCAAGTTACAAAATGAGAGTACCCAGGCCTCTGGAGAAAACTCCACCACAATAAATACAGTCGAACACTAAAGGGCCATAACCCACCAAAGAGAAAGAGGAAACCCAGTCATCTCCCCCCACCCAAAAAAAAAAAACCCTGAAAAGAGAACATTCCAATTTCAATGGCCTCCCAAGGCCCTCATATGCTACAGAGCTTGTTAAAGGTCAGAGCATTCTTAGTATCTTCAGGACGACTATTACACAGGGCTGGGGCCACTACTGAAAAGGCACCACAACTGGAGATTGGGGAAGTTGATCTAAGTAGTATCTTTAAGAGCCAGGCTTAGGTGCAGGGCACCTACTTTGCAAGCAGAAGGTCCCAGGTTGAATCTCCAGCATCTCTGCTTAACAGACCTTAGGGAATAGTTGGGAAAGACCCTTCTCTGCCAGAGACCTCAAAGCAGACTGAGGCTGTGGTCACACGGAGCATTTGCCGCGCTGACGATACGGATGGTAGGCGAATTTTCCGGGCGCGATCACACCGCAACATCTGGGAAGCGTAGAGCTCCCGTGGCTAACCTGAGGCTTCCCGCCAAAGATGCAGAGTAAAAAACTAGTACCTCCGAGGTACTAGTTTCCGGAAACCACGGGCCAAGGGCGGGCATCTGATCGCGTTTCCGGTGGACTTACGTGGCATCCGCCGCCCGTCTCCGCAGGTTGCGCAACAGCGCCCAACAGTGCATGTGCACAAAAAGCGATTGCTAGTGCGATCACGCGGCGCGGCTTCTGTGCCACGCTGCAGGATACCCGTCTGGTCGGCATCTCCCCCCTAACCACGGGACCTCGAACAGGACGTGTGTTCGGGCGGCCACACGTTAGTTTCCTCCGGGGCAATTAGCCATGCCTCCCCCCCCCCGCGATATCTGGCCCGTGTGACCGGGGCCTGAGTTGGGTAAACCAATGGCATGTTTCTTAGGCAGCTGCTTTGCACAAAATCAAGGTGCTAGTCCCTCGAGCCCAGAATCCTGGCTCCCCCATTGTCTTCCGTGTTGCCTCTGCTGCACTAACCTCTTCATCCTTCTCCCGGATCAGCTTCTCTGTCTCTGAGTCCAGCACCGGAGGGATGGCAGGGATGGGGAAATCTGTCCCACTTTCCCTGGTGAGTTTACTGTTTGAAAAAAACAAAGGGCAATCATTACCGAGGGCAACGTAGTCTCGTTCATTGTCTTATCCCAGCAGCTTGCAGAAGATCGTTCAGACAGATGTCTGGCTTCTCCAGAAAAGCATCCTTCTGAGACAACTGAAAAATCCCACACTGGCTTACCTAAATAGGTGGGTCTGAGATCTTCCCAAGCCTTGACAAGGGATCAAGAGGGATGAACCTGCTGCTGTAAACCTCTTGCAAAGACAAAGGTCTGATCCATCAAAGCAATGCCAATGTTTTTAAGATGCATCCTAACGCTGCTCTGGAAGTTCAGCATCCCGAGGTTCAGAACTGCAAGGGTCAGCCTGTCTTTGACACTGGTGTGCCACGGCGGTGTCACTGCAAACTGGCCAATCTGATTGGGGCACTGCATGGCAAAGAGCAGATGTTCTGACCTAGGAGCCCTTGTGTCCCTTCTTGACTCAGCCATGAATCCACAAGGTGGCCTTAAGCAAGCCGCCGGCTGCCCGCCTCACCCCTCCACGCGCCCATCTGTATTATAAGCATAACACCGGCCTCCCTAACAAGGTTGTTGTAAAGAACTGACATATCTGCTAAACACTTTGAGTACTTAGAACATGGTATAAGTACTATTTACTCAAGTCAACATGTGTATTGACCTATCAAAGCAGAGCTGCTGAGAGTTATGGTCAGATTTATTGATTTTTGCGGGCTGTATTAGTTCCAACTAAGGTTGCCAACTCCAGGTTCAGAAATACCTGGAGACTGAAGGTGGAGTCTGGGAGAGTGAGGTTTAGGGAAGGGAGGGACCTCGGTAGGGTATAATGCCATATAGCCAACCTTCCATAGCAGCCATTTTCCCCAGGAGAAGAGGAATAAATGTTTTAAATAAATGAACAATAAATAAGCAATTTATGTAGTCTGGAAATGAGCTGTAATTCCAGGAGGTCTCCAGTTCCCACTTGGAGGTTGGAAACCCTAGTTCCATCCCCAGTACTCTTGGTTGGAGCATGACACTGCATTTTCAAATGGCCTTTCTTCCCATCATCATCATTATTAAGAGTTATTTCCCCAAATATGCACATTTTAATCAGACAGCTAAAGGGCAGGGCATTCAATCATTAAATTTATTATTGATTTTGTATCATTTGGTGCAACTCCGGCTCATTGCGGCCTGCTGGTTTGAGCGTTTCCTTGGAGATGGTGAGCTGCCTTTGTGGCATGACAAAAATGGCCACCACACAAAATGGTGGCAACTCATGTCAGGAGACTTGCTTGGACTCTTGCCGTTCACAAAATGGCTGCCAAGCATAGAGGCCTCTGTGAGGTGGGAACAGAGAGGAGTGTGAACTGCCAGACACCCAATCCTTTCTCAAAGAAGGCAAGGAGAAAAGGGTGGCTGCTAAAAGTGGGGCAGGACATTCCTCGCCTCCCTCAAGACAATTTAACTGGGAGATCTTCTAAAAGTTAAGTCCAGATTTCGATTGCATTCATTTGGCCATGGATTTGCAGTTCCTCCAGCTGACAACTTTTTTGCCCTCACGCTTACCGGTGCTCCTGTGCATGTTGACGAAAAGGCAACCTGGATATGACAGGATGCACAACTGAATAAAAGTACTTTTTGGTGGCACTTCACAGACACACCTGTGTGTTTCTGCACATCAATGAACACAGAACCCAAGAAGTATAATACACCTGCACATGGAATCCCATGCACAGTCTCTTTGCAGTGTTTTTCCCCAGTATGGCACCTGCCCCATGTTTCAGGAAAGTTGGCAATGCTCTTGCTTGATAGGGCTTGTGGGTAGTAGTTGGTTAACTCCTTGAAACAGCACCTGCTGGAGGAACAGGTAAGCTGCAAGCCTCCGTGATGCAGGCCTCATACCAGTGAGGGCAGTAAATGTGGCTTTTTTGGCCAAGGGTAATGGCGAATGTGGCTCTCCATGAGCTGTAGAGCAGTACCACTGCTCTAGGGAGAAATTCAGAGGAAGATTGTATTGGAAGCATCCCGGCTCCAGGCAGTCCTAGTCTCCATCCTCTTGGGGGAAGGGTTCCAAACTCTAGACAAAAAGAGCCAACTTTGCCTCAGTCTGGCTCAAAGAGTTCATTGCACAGATGGTGGCTCTTCTGTTTAAACAGCAGCTGAGGGTTATGATATATCCAGATGGCTGGCTTTCTTGTGGTGTGGATATGGAAGGCCTCTGACTTTACTTCAGAGTTGTGGCATTCTCTTCTTCTGTTCCATTCCTGTGAGCAATTTCTTATGTTCTTTCCCCCAACCAATCCCCAGACTCCAGGGAAACTCCACACTGTGTGTTTTTATGTCCCCAGGAGGATGACCTTCTTCAGTGCACTGTGTATTCCTAGAATGGGCACTGGCTGATTACGGAGTTATTTTAGAGCAGCTCCCTCCACAGGCCTTTTGTGGTGTTGCACACAGCCTTAGAGCACCTTACAGTAGGGGTCCCCAATGGGGTGCCCAGGGGCCATCAACACCTTTCCTTGTGCCCACCAAGTGTTCTAAGAAAGTGGTTGGGGAAAGTGGGGCTTTAACCCAGCGAGACTTCTGATTGGCCATTAGCGGTCTGATTGGCTGTGCAGTTGTTTTTTTAAAACGTTGCTTTGGCAGCAGCTGCCACCACAAAACAAGGATCACTACTGTGTGACTGGAGGTCAACAGTGGGAGGGCTTCTAATGTCCTGGCTCCACTGGTGGACCTCCTGATGGCACTGGTATTTCTGGCCACTGTGTGATACAGAGTGTTGGACTGGATGGGCCTTTGGCCTGATCCAACATTGGCATCTCTCATGTTCTCTTATGTTCTTATGAGATAAGCTGCGGCAGCCATTTTGGGGCTGGCTCTGCCTCCTGCAGCGGCCATTTTGGGGCAGCCATTTTAATGGCTGTGCCCACCACGCTGTGTCAGAATTCCAAAAGCACCCAGAGGCTCAAAAATATTGGGGACCCCTGCCTTAGAGCATGGCTTCGAGCAAGCCTTGTTGAGCCTGTGAGCACTTTGTGAATTCTGAGAACGGGTAGACAGCATCGCCAAAAAAATGGGGTGTGGGGCCGTTCACAAAGCAACTGCCAAGGAGGGCAAGTCCACCTCTTTACTGTTCGATTTAAGTTTAAAAGAAAGAGGAGAGACCTCCCTGCATCACCACAGTGAGTGCCAAGACCAGAGACGTAAGAAAGTGTGCCTCTGGCCAAGCCACGGTCACCTGGCTATGGAGTGCCTGTCCGAGGTCAGCCCTTTGTTTGTCAACCAGTTGGTAGGGAGTGATCCAAAGCTGCCTGTTATTTTCTCTTCCATTAAAGACACCTTGAATTATGTCCCCCAAGAAGCAAGTGAGCACCACAAAACACATCAGTGGGAACCATGATGATCACTGACTTAAAGTGTGAGTCCAGTGGCACCTTTCAGACCAACAAAGTTTAATTGTGGGTATCAGCTTCCGTGTGCATGCACACTTCATCAGAGAAGTGTGCGTGCACATGAAAGCTTATACCCAGAATTGAACTTTGTCGGTCTTAAAAGTGCCACTGGACTAAAACTTTGTTCTGTTGCTTTAGACCAACATGGCTACCCACCAGAATGTGAATTAAAGTGCGTCCATTTTTAGGTCTGGGAAAGGGATGATGCTAAAAGGAATGTCAAAGGGGTGCACTGATTCCTTCCAAAGGACATAGGAATCTACTGATTTTCTGAAGGATCACTGAAAAAAGTGGGATTGGTTGCTCTTGAGGGACTCTCTCCAAATGGACGAATTTCAGAAAAATTCAAGAGAGAGTATGTATACACTGTCACTCAAGACATTTCTTTGTAGAATCATGTTTCTCCAAACAAAATTCACATTTGTTCATGGAAGTGGCATAGTTTTGTGGGGAAAGTAATATTTCTGTGTGCAAAGGTTGTCAGAAGACATGTGTCATCTACTATCTCCCTTGTTGCCTATATTTGACGGTGTCTGTGACCAGAAAAACTCTGTAAATTTCCTGTACCACTGCTGAAGCATCTCTCCAGCCTGAAACTAGAGCTTCCAAATCTCTCTCTCTCTCTTTCTCTCTCTTGCTCTCTCATGGTTACAAGCAGCCAAAGACAGACTTAACATTCTTGGCTGCCAAACACAGCAGACTCTTTACCCTGTGATATCAATCTGATGTTCCAAATTGCCCTAGACCCATACAAGAGTTAAATACCGGGCCCTCCGTCAGTCCCGCAGCATTGTGCTTTTAAGCTATGTCCACCACATTTCAAATATTATTTCTGTCTTCATCTCAAAGGGGGAAAACATTGTGAAGGCAGATGGACAGCAGTGTTGGTTGCTAAGTGTTGGACCACCCTTTCCTCCCTACCTTTCCTCCTACTGCTTTTGCCTATTTATCCTGACTCTAAAAGTGTTATTGCAAAGACTATTCCACATCTTACTAATAAACCCCCAGCCACATTCTCCCCCCCCCCCAATCCCATCCAAATTTTCCTCTTGAGATGCTTTGTGCTATAATGGGGGAAAGGGGAATGGGCCATAAAGGAAGAAGAGAGATGCAGTGTTTTCAGTGGGTGAAAACAGAAGCAATGCTTTTAGAAGGTGAAGACAGAAATAACATTGTTAGAACAGAGAGGCTGCTCTGGCAGCAGCCCTACTGCACTTGATCCAAAACATATCTCTTTGTTCCTGTATCATGTGTCGTTTGGCTTCAAATATACATGCTTCTAACAATGGAGAAAATGGTCTGCCTGAAACTATGGGGAAGGGGTAAGCTGGACATCTGTGATGGCATTTGATTCACTGGTGTGCACACCTCTCGTTTCAGTTGCAAAGTCTCGAGAAAGCTGGCTCCCTCCTTAGCTCCTTACGCATCTTTTCTCGATGGTATGTTTCCCATGCCTGCTCCATATCCTCATGCGTTAGAACAGATAAAAGAAACCACTTCTTCACCCAAAGAGTGATTAACACATGGAATTCACTGCCAAAGGAGGTGGTGGTAGCTACAAACATGGA